CCGTACTCTGCGTGCTGTCGCTGAACATCTACTACGAGAAGCTGTTCATCTTCTTGTGGTTTTGGCTACTATTCGTTGCCATCGTCTCCACATCGAATACGATCTATTGGGTTGGTAGCCTTTGTGTGAGCACAAAGGTAAGCATTTTCAGCTTTTTCACCTTCCATTTAACCCTAAAGAATCACTGCTTCCTTTGGAAGAATAGTATCCAGTGGGAACGGGTAACTCACATCTTCCAGTGCTCTATTTCTGCGGAGATTTAGGCTCGTCGTATCGTGGCTATGTATCTGGCCACTGACCCCAATTCACAGTCTAGTCGACTATCCACAGAGAAGTTCTTCAAATTACTTGGGCCGGATGGATTGTTCGTTCTTCAACAAATGGCCCTCAATTTGGGTGACATCCCGGCCAGGTTTGTGCTGATTCCTAATGCTTCAAAGGGCGAAGTTCGAAGTGTGATGTGTTCCAGCTACCTGTCGATAGCGATGAGAAACGTTGGTGAGCGTTGGATGGAAGAAGATCAGGACCACAATCTGATCGTCGACGAAAAATTGTCTTTGAAGAACTACAAGGCTGTCTAGCCCCCACCGCCTTTTCTGTCTTGACAACCCGGTTCTGGATCATCCCGGATAGCGTCACATTTCAACTGACTTCTTCGTCCATGTATTCAACGACTTCTCTTCAGGGATTCTTCGAATTGCCATATCAAAAGAGCATAGTAATCGATACTGAAATAAAAAATGATAAATGTATTTTTTTTTTCCCATTTTCAGATGCGTGAAAATAAGAAAAATAATAAATAAATAATTAAACCATAACAGTTCCCACCAACCTCGAAAGTAAGAAAAAGAAGACCTGAAAATAAGATCCAATTATATCAACAACGAGAAAAACTTGTGCTCAAAGGCAAGCTGTGGGTTTCCAGCAAGACGGATCCTTGCCATGAGCGAGTTGGGGGTGGGGGTTGAGTTTGGCGGGCGCTAGTCTGTTTTTCACCATTAGAAGGGGACAGGTGACAGCAGCTGAACGAAATCGGGCCAGTGCCGCGCCAAACCCAGCCCCTCTGTCATGACCCAGCGAACAAGATTGTACGGCTTGCTTGTTTGTCAGACCACGTCGTACGTTGGGAATCCCCACCGGTATGGTCGTATTTGGTCTGAGAAGGCACTTGGAGGCACTATTCAACTATTACTACCCCAGTTTTGCGAAAACAGGCCGGATCTTGATCGACTTTTTTCTACGGGGGCAGATTTGGCTGAAAGTTGGGTTCTAGGGGTAATTCGACCTCCTGAACACGAATATCACATCCACTTGGCCTGAAAGTGCCTGGCGCTCGCGCCACAGGCGCCTGGCGCCACAGGCGCAGTGCATTTAGGGCATTTTGGCGTCTGTGGCGCGGGCGCCGAGCGGTTCCAGGCTGAGCGGATGTGATGTTCGTGTTCAGGAGGTCGAACTACCCCGGGGCACAAGTTTTCAGCGAATTTGGTGATCAAGGGTACTTTGGCGCCGGTGCCTGTGGCGTGGGCGCCAGGCAGTTTCGGGAGGAAGATGTGACATTCGTGTTCAGGAGGTCGAATTACCCCTAGAGCCCATCTTTCAGCCAAATCTGCCCCCGTAGAAAACAGTTGATCAAAGATCCGGGCCCGTTTTCGGAAAGAATCAGGGGTGCGTGTACTAGTTGAACAGTGCGATTTTTTTTTTTACAGGTTAGCGTTGGTGGGAAGAGAGGGGGTCCGTATTTGCTGTGTTGGTTGGAAGAGGGGGAAAGGGGTCCTGTAGTTCCTTCGGTGTGGAAATTGTGCTGGACAAGAAAAGATGTCTTCCCGGCTTGTTGAGCACCACGGTCTGGTTGCGGGGTCGCAAAGTTCACGAAAAGTTGCTAGTGACAGATACCAGATATTTTCGGGAGAGTTGAAAACTAGTAGTTGGTTGCTCACAGCACCTTCCTCCCCCCCCCAACCTCCCCCGCTCGACAGAAATGGAGCAAACGCTAAGAAAGTAGGTAGATGTAGGATGGGGAACGGGGATCGTACTTTCCCGCGACAAACGATTCTTCCCAGCGGCAGTACTGCCTCTGCTGGTGTGCTCAGTACACTTTCCATACTAAAATATCAATGCCTGCAGTGCCCTGTCGTAGAATAGCAGAGCCGCCCTTTGGCTCTCCTATTCTGCGACAGACTTTGGCTACTTTGGCTTACATGGTCCAAGTTTTCGGTTTTAAATGTAGCAGAGAGTTTTCTCCTTGCCGTGTGGTGTAGCTGAGCGTTTCGACTACGGTATGTTCGTTGTTCTGCATTATTGTGGGCTGCTCACTACATTTCAATGCAGAATTATGGCAGACTTTCCAGTAGCCCCCCGAAATTCCCAAGCCGTCCTATGCGAACTCCTGAAACTGTTTTCCATCTCTTCGACAAGTGTTCCCAGGCACGCTTCGCAGCGCTTTTTCATTCGCCAGTCCCTTGTGAGCTCATGTCAGAGATCTTCTCATAAGTTCAGCTATGAGTAGAACTAGAGTGCATTAACAAATTAGACATCCATGGTGCTGATGGATATTGTCGTCAGTTCATATGGACTTTTGTTTGGGTGGGTAAGACGTTCTTGCTAAGCCTTCCATTGAAATCTCCACTATAAAGCGCTACAAATTTACTGAGAAATTGTAAAAGCTTAGTGATTTGCGGAATGCAAGCGAGCATGTCACCTCTGGGACATGAGACCGCACGCTATTTACAGGCTTCAGAAGTGGTCTTACTTCGCTATAAACACCTATGGATTCCCCTGCTTTCCGTGCAATTGGTTTTGCTTGGGAACGGGAAACTTCCAGGGGAAAACGGCTAGGAAACCCATAGACGGGTGAGTGTGGGGTGCACTCCTCGAAAATTTCCAAAGGCATGGGCACCAGACATTTGAGCCAAATTCGAGGAGCGACAGGTACAGTGTTGGCTATCAAAAGGCAGAAAGGTGGACCTTCGCAGTATAGAGCCATACCTTTTCGGGCATATCTGGCTTATTTAGAGGGGAGCGCTACCAGAGATCGATCTTAATCTGAATGTTTCCTGGTTTGCACCCCCAGCAAATCATTGAAGTATTTACGGCAACCAATTTCACCAAGACTTTATTTCCTTAGGTAACTTCCAAGAAAATTGAGGGGATAACTGCACCATTGACCCTAAGGGGTCCGATTGCCTTTGTTCCGACGATGGTACACCATCTCGATGGGAGTAATGGCGGTGTTAAACCACCCTCCCCCGCCCCCAATTTCCTCCTTCTCCATCCTATCTACCAGAAAACTTTCTCGCGGCTTTGGAAAAAGTAATTTTTTTTCTTCAGAGGTAGACGAATCCCCGCTCAGTGATCAAGTGCGTTGCATGCCCCTATCCAGCGATCATCTACGATCCTCTCCCTCCAGCCCAGATGAAATTTCCCAAACGATTCTGTACCCTGGTTCCGATGGAACAGCCCCTTTTTACCACACACATTTGAAATAAAGCTAATTGCTTTGTGATAACATCGCGAAGGAGTGATCGACTACTTAGTGGTCATACTAGAAAACTGACCTTAGTTACCGTGGTAACAGTGAAAACACCACTATAAAATTCGTCTAAGACAGTAAACAAATTGATGCAGATCGTCTGGATAGAAAATCCTCGAAAGAAATGCTCAATTTTGAGTGACACCACGTTTTTTCAGGTGAGAGTCGTTCTGCCTTAACGGTTAGAAGCTAGCGCTACCAACTCTAAGGAACCTTTCAAGATGCGCCACGCACTCAGCGGATGTTAGATCCCTATAAGAAGTGGACTCGTGCTTTCCAACGCAATTCGTGTTGAAGAGTAGTCAACAGGAGCAAGATTTCTGGCCTCTAGATAAGTACGCTATCACGGCCCGCAAATGTGAATGATGTGCAGCACCTGCATAAACTAGATGCACGTTCCACGAAAGTTGTATGGGCGGAGACACATAACGACTGCATTCCACATTAGTACGGACCTACTCTTCAGTGCACTGGATGGATACATACAGGTACGACATACAAGTCACGAGGGCGTAGTTCATCTGTAGGGGCAGCCAGAGACCTGCAAGTCCTGTGACACTTCAGTTACCAATTCCAAATGACGTCACTCTCACGTGAAATGTGTAAGTTTTAGTGTCGCAAATGTGAGACTTTTATTCAAGCACAAACTAATAAAATTACGTCAGCAGAAGGCGCAAATGCCACCTTCGCAAGCGAAAGGCGGCCGTAACGAGTTCCAGTCTTCTTTTCCCTCTCCGACCCAGTTTCTATGAAATGTGTGTTTACTTGTGTGTGTGCAAACTATGGCTAGACTGGGGTTCTTCTAGCCAGGAAGTCCGCGCAGCTATGCAAAAGGACTTTGAATGTGAGATCTGGGTAGATTTGATGGGCGTCTATAAGGTTGATCGCAAAACTGACAACCTTACACTTCACGTAGCAACTGTGGCTCATGACTCTACTGATTACCCAGGTCCCATCCAAATTTTGTAGTTCCATGTGAGTTGGCGACTACCCGTGTGAGAAATCTCTAAGAAATGCCGCGATATCCTCCCCTTTTAATGTAGAAGCGTCAAATCGGCACATAGAACTGGCTGCGCCCCTTCGCTTGTCGAACTGCTGCAACTTATTAGGGTGTCCACAAAGTTCGTTGGCCATTTGTAAACAGCGTCGCGTTACGCAACGCGTTGTGATTTTGCATAATGGTTTCGCAATACTGAAAGTACTCGCGATGGGCTATCTTCTGAGCTAGCTAGCTCTAAATTTCCTTTCCTGATCTTTCCACAATAAAGCAGTGAAGATGAGTGATAGTTGCTGGACTACTACAATCTGGACATCTCCAGACGTCAGGCCACGACCAGGATGCGTCAGCAGTTTGGTGATAACACCCCTTCTAAGAACTGGATGTCAAAATGGGGGACTCGCTTCACCAATGGAAACTATGGCATCGAAGATATGCCGAGGTTTCTGGTTCTCTCGTCACGGCGTCGTCCACTATAGCACCCTACCCAACAATGCCACAGTGACGGCAGAGACCCTCTCTAAAGAATTACAGGAGGTCAAGGTGAAAGCTGCCGCCTTGTCCCAGAAACTTGCAAATCCGTGGTTGCTCTGGGACAACGCGCGCCCCCACAAAGCGAGAGATACTCAGGCCGTCCTGGACAGGCTGGGCATCAAGACGTTCACGCATCCACCATATAGCCCGGACATCAGTCTATGCGATTACCACATCTTCCGGTCCATGCGAAACTTCCTGGACGGAAAACAGCTGAAGAACGAGCGCGACCTCGAGGACGTGATCGAGGACTTGGGCGAGTCGCGGCTGGCCGGCTTCTGAGAGGATGGAGTTGCCTCTCTACCCGATCGTTGGCGAAAGGTGGTGGGTATGCATGGAGATTATATCATGGACCGGTAAGTTCAACTTGGTGAGTTATCTTCATAAGCTCTGCAAAAAACGAATGGCCAACGAACTTTGTGGACACCCTAATAATTCAATCGCATTGAATACAGAACCTATTTCAATAATTGCAACAGTTCAACACTAGCGGTGGAGCGCGGTCACTCCCTGTAGCGGTT